TGACCTCCCTTTCCTGCTCCCTGACCTGGAGGAAGCCACACTGCCACAGCCCTGGGGACAGGAACTGGGCCCCTGCCACCCACCTCCCAACTGGCCATGCCCTTCTCTCCCGCAGTCCATCCAGCCCACAGCCAACCTGGACCGGACCGACGACCAGGTCTACTTCAACGTCATGGAGCTGGTGCGGGCCGTGCTGGAACTCAAGAACGAGCTGTCCCAGCTGCCTCCTGAGGGCTATGTAGTGGTGGTGAAGGTGAGGGTGAGGGTTGGGGTGGCTCTCGGCCATGAGGGGGGAGCTGCCCCTCCACCATGGCCCACCCGGCAGGCCCCAGTGGTGCAAGGGGATGAAAGGGACCGTAGGGCTGAGCAGCCCAGAGGGCATCTACCATCCTAGACGCAGTGAGCCTTCCTCTAAGAGCAAGAGGTCAGCTGGGCACTGCTGGGCATGCCTCAAAGCCCAGCTCTTCAGTAGGCTGAGACAGGAGTATCACAAATCCCAGCCCCACCGGGAGAATTTGGTGATGTCATAAGACCCTGTCTAAAAATAAGTGAAAAAGGGCTAGGGGTGCAGCTCTGTGTGAAGGTCCTGGGGGGACACAAGTGATCAACATTTCCTGTTCCTTCCTCTTCCCAGAATGTGGGACTGACCTTGCGGAAGCTCATTGGGAGTGTGGACGACCTCCTACCCTCCCTGCCATCATCTTCGCGGACAGAGGTGAGTGTCCAGGTCTCCAATAGACAGTGCCACATCTGCACCCTGCTTCTGTCTCCTACAGGGACTCCCAGAGCCACCTGGGAAGCATCCTTTCTGCCTGCTGAGTCCGCAGCAGGTGGTTGTGGGCCTGGCCAATGCCTAGGGCAAATTTTCTATTTTGATCTCAGATAATCCAGGCAAAATTGAAAATATATAGGGGGCAGGGCACCCTCCCCTCCCCCATTAACCTTTGCCTCAGCACATCTGCACTGACACCGTGAATATAGCATTGCAGCTGCAAATAGTCACACTGGCAGCAAGTCCCCATGGGACTCAGTGTTCTATGAAAAGGACCAATGTGACAGACTGAATCCTGGTCTCTGATAATGTCCACATCCATGTCCCCAGGGCCTGTGCTCATACCTTACACAGCAGTGGGGACTTGGTAGTATGATAAAGTTAAGGATCTTCAGAAGGGAGATTATGCTGGAGCAGGCAAGAGAGTGGCAGGAGGTCAAAAGCAGGGACCTGAGCACAGACGCTGAGGCTGGAGCAATGCCGTGGGCCTGGAAGGCGCCACCACTCTGGGCCAGGAAAGGCAGGAGAAGGTCTGCTCAGCAAGGGGCACGGCCCTGTTGATACCTTGACTCTGTGAGTCTCTTACACAGCCATAGGGAACCGCTACCATTGGACACTCACAGTTGTCCATCTGGAACTCAGTTGTCACCCTCCCCTCCAACAGGGCCCTTCGATCCATTGCCTTCTAGTGTCAGCCACATGGCACACTGGGTCACTGTCCCCACTGTCCAAAGCTGCTCCAGGCAGGACAGGGCAAGCATGTCTGGGACATTCCCAGGCCTCCCCCTAGGTGGCAGCAACAATCCACAGAGAGCTCAGCAAGGCAGATACCACAGCCTCAGGGATGAAGATGCCCCCTGGGACCTGGCTCTGGGTCTTCGGGTTGGCCACTCACCCACTCACACATTTCCTTTGACAAATAATCGTGTGCTTTATGTGCCCATGATGTGACATATGCTGGGGATGTGGTGGGAAAAGAAATGTCATCCCTGATCTTTGGGTTTGACAGTAAGCAGCTAACACATGGGTCAATGCACTTGACCGCTTCCTGGATCATCTCTTGAACAATGGCCCACATCAGGATGCTTCTGTGGAGGGTGTTCTGGGGAGCTGGGCGGAGGCCAGTTGGCTGGGGTCTGGGATGTCTGCCGTGTCCACTGGGTCCTGAATAGAGGGTCAAATTCAACCCAGGCTTGGGTCCGATTCCTGCTGCCTTGGTCAACACCCTTCCTCGCCCTCTATGGGCTGTTCTCGCTACAGATTGAGGGGACCCAGAAACTGCTTAACAAGGACTTAGCAGAGCTCATCAACAAGATGCGGCTGGCTCAGCAGAATGCAGTGACCTCCCTGAGTGAGGAATGCAAGCGGCAGATGCTCACGGCCTCCCACACCCTGGCCGTGGATGCCAAGAACCTGCTGGATGCCGTGGACCAGGCCAAGGTTCTAGCCAACCTGGCCCACCCGCCAGCAGAGTGACAGAGGGTGAGGGCCACCCATCTGCATCTCCACCCCGACCTGTCCTGCACCTCCCCTGCCTTGCCTTTGGTCATATGGTCTTCTTGGGGAGGACAGAGGGGAGTCCTTCCCCTCATTCTGCACGACCCCTCCCCACCTTGCCCCAACCGTGCTGCTCAGGCTATGGCTGGATGGAAGGACTGTGGGTACGGACACAGAGGTGCTGATGCATATGGCTCAGAGGGGGCGCTGCTACTGGTCACTCCCACCCCAGCCTGTGTGCTGGGTGCTGGGGCACCTTGTGGGGGTCACAGTGATGCCCCTAGCAGCCAAGATGGCTTCATGCATGGACAGGTGGGCCCATCTGGGAGCCAAACTATCCTTTCTCCTTCCTCTTCAGCCCTCGAGGGTCCCCAGTTGCACAGAGGGGCCAGGGAGGGGCTTTATTTGGGGTCAGGAGTCTGGTGAATGAGGGACAGGCTGGCTTTCTTGTACAGTGTATATTGGAATTTATTTAATGTGAGTTTGGTCTGGACTGACAATTGCCTAGAGGGGATCTGGGACAGTCCAGGAACAAGCTAATTAGGGCCCAGGGCCCAGGATGCTGTGTGTGGTTTTTTTTTTTTATCAAAGCAGGTGTCAGGGAAAGAAGCAGAAAAACAGAAGCCAAAGCAGGACTCTGGACATACTCTGCTTCCTTCCTGCCCCCTTCTCTCTCTTCCTTTACTTTGCCCTCGCCTCCCCTTCTTCCTCCTTCTTTTCTCACCCCTTTCTCACCTGCCCCTTTCCTTTCTCATGTGTTTGTGTAGAACATTCTTCTACCTTCTTTCTATTTGACTTGTGGTTGAATTAAAATTGTATGATTTGCCTTGTGGTTTGCTTGTGTCGTTTGTTGGATCTGCTGACCTTGAACCATAGTCCTGGAAGACATGGACTGTGTCCATCTTGGGCACAGATC